AAGGGAGCTCTATGTGGAGTCTTTTGAGAACTTCCATACCACTTTCCAAAGTGGTTGGAACTCAAAAAATGAAATCCCCCAACAACAAATCCTCAAAGAAACAACTGCTCGATAAATACGTGGGCTAAAGACTTAAAGAGAAACTTCTCTGACTAGGAAAGAAGGATGGTAGACAGATGAAGAAATGCTCAACCTCTCTAGCCATAAAAGAAATGCAATCAAAACAACATTGAGATTCCACCTCATCCCAGTTAGAATGGCAAAAATCAAGAACTCTAATAACAACAGATGCTGGAGGAGATGTGGCCAGAAAGGAACTCTACTGCATTGTTGGTGGGGGTATAAACTTCTTCAACCACTTTGGAAAGAGATTTTTTAAAAATTTTTTTTGACTATTTATTTAGACTCCAGTGGCTGAGATTGCTTCATCTGAAAAACTGTTATCTGATTTGCTCCAGTATCCCAAACTTTACATCAAGGTGTAATCAGACCAAATTGCTTATGCCTGGAGTTCAAAAATCTTCAGCAAATAAGTTTGGCACGGTTACCAGACCTTAGAAATGAAGGGAAAGGAACAAAAAGTACCCTCCCACCCATAACTACATAGTATGAAAAATTGTCCAACTTCAGTGTTTATGCTAGTCTCAACAACAGGGAAGGTCTGATAGTTAAAGCCCCATATTTGAATCTCTAAAATGAACCCAAGCCCTCCCAAATGCCAGGGCCTGACTATACCTCCCTGATCATATGACTTTTCACCTAAAGATTTAGCCAAGTCATTCCTGTGTTCTGCAATCCTGAAGGAATCTAATGAGATATGGCAGTGGTGATTGTGACACTTGTTTGTAGTGCGTTTCAAACAAGTCACTTAACCTCTCTGAACCTCTGTATGCTTATCTGTACAATACCTAATGTGGTAGGCAGGAAGGTCAAGTGAGCAGATGTGGGGATAGAGGTGATCTCAAGGTTTACCACTTGCTTCTGACATGCTCTCTCAGCATTTCAGCCCCCTTATTTTGGTGGCCTTTCCTTTTAAGGCTCTAGGTATATCCATAGGCAGCCTTTAGGGACACTGAGGCAGAAGGAAGCCAGCAGTGGGAGGGGATCTTTCCTCACACATCTGCTGGTAGCATAGTCATGTAAAGAATGGCATGTTTTGCTACAAAGAAACACTAATCAAAATGCAGCCTGAATGTCTTTCCCTTCCTTCTCAGTGAGGCAAGAAGCTCCTGAGATTTTTGCTGTTGAAAATTTCAGGCAGGTAAAAGCCGTTCTTGAGTTTCTGAAGCTAACAGCATGGTGACCTGGACTGTACATAGACAGGGGAGGGGGGGCGGGTAGCAGCAGCAAATGAAGGCAGATGCCAGGCAGAAGGCTTGTCAGAACACACTGCTACCTTCAATCCTGTGGGGGCTGGCTTGGTGGGGCATAAGCAGACTTGTGGAAGCTTGCTAGTGAATAAAGGCTGCCAAGGATAGCCTTGATGTTGTCTTCTGAGCTCCTGTAGAAAATCAGGAATTGGGTATCATCCCAGACCTATTGAGCCAGAGTTGGCATCTGCAAAATGATCCCAGCTACTTTGGAGCACAGCAGCACAGGAAATAACTTGGAGCTGTTTGTTCATTGATGCATCTGAGAGCTTACACTCAAACTAGACTAAAGAGGTGCTCAGTGCAACCACTCATTTATATCCTTGGCCACATGTGATTGACCTATGAACTGTGAACATCTCCGTGACACCAGATCAGGGTCTCAGTGGTGGCCAGGATTAGGACTTAGGACCCAACTACAAACATCCAGGAAAGCAATTTGGATGAATGTAGTCATTCCTTGGTGTTTATGGTTGTGATTGGTTCTATGCCTCCTGTGGTATCCTGTAGATACTATAATCTTCAGAAGCTTAAGTCCCTCATATCAAATGATGTACTATTTACACACAGCCTAGGTGCATCCACCTGTATAGTTCCCCTCACATGTAGCAATGGTACAGGGGGTTGAACTCAGAGTTTTGTACTTGGCTAGGCAGATACTATATCACTTCAGCCACTCCTCAATTCCTTTTGCTTTCATTATTTTTTCACAGCCCTATCTGGTCTGCAGTCCTCCTATTTCTGCTTCCCACATAGCTAGGATGTGAGGCATGCACCACTACCCTACTTTTTATGGGTCATAATGGTGCTTCTCATCAACTTTCTGCCCAGGCTAGCTTCAAGCTGTGATTCTCCTATATCCGTCTCCCAAGTAGCTAGGATTACAGGTATATGTAGCCACAACTGGCCAAAACAGTCTTCAATGAAAATTTATTTGCACTCAGTTCTAGAACCCCCAGATTCTGGACTATTAAGACAGGCTGAGGAAGGCATATTACCCCTCAACTGTCATTATTAAGGGGTGCAATGCAGGTATTTTTGAAGTGATATGTGGCACTGCCAAAGTGGTATTCTGGGCAACTTTGTTCACAGATGACAGTAGAGAGCCTAGACATCCATGCTGTCATTCGCATTAGGCCCTATGTGCCCGGAATTTCATACCCCAGCCCTGGTGTCTGGATCTCCTGGTTTAGAAAAATGGAGTTTCTAGTAGCAACTTAACCATAGAGAAGCTAAATGAGGTACTCCAGGTGTGTTCCCTGGGGAGGAAGGGAATTACTGCTGTAAAGATTTTGCCATAGTGACAGTGGAGCACACACAGAGGTATATTAGATATGTCCTGATGCCAGTGAATGGATGGCTTTCTCATTCACTGTCTTCCTATGAACTCTGCTGGAAGACCCATCAGCCCAGAAGGACATTCCCTACCCAAGTGTTTAGAGGACCCACAAAGGCTCCTGGAGGGAAGAGACACTGGGTTATTTTTTGAGTAGCACTTTTGAGAAGTAACAGAATAAAGCCTCAAACAAAGCAAAATAGCCAAGCCTCATGGGCAGAAACATTTCTAAGGAGACAATCCTGGATTGAGATCACATGACGTTGAATCTAGAGTATGTTAATGCCCTTCTGCCTGGCCCATGCAAAGACACTGGGATGTCCAGCCATGCTATAGATATATCGCTCATCCTGCCTGGAGACGATGATGTCCTTGAGGAGACATTTCCTTCTCTTCATGTGGAGATTCAGCAGAGTTTGTGGTTTTAACTCACCAATGTATTGCCAGCTGCAGCCCCTAGCAGTACCTGCCAAGAAAGACAAGCCATCTCAGGATGAAAGGATTTCCTGGACTAGGCCCAATGCCAGACTCTGCTCCCAATGGGAGAGGTACCTATGGTGTGGGTGGGGGAGACCCACTTTCACACAAGCCCATTCAAGACTTAGCAGAGATGAAGAGGACACATATGTGATGTGCTGAATCTGACCTTGCCCAGCTGACCTCCAGTGGAGGGCACGCAGCTCCTGCCTAGGTAACTTGCAGGTCCACAACTAAGTCAACATGGCCTCCACTTCCTGTTCAATCTTCCCTTTGCTTGTGAATTTCCTTGGCCAATCACCTTTCCTTCTTTCCTTCTGGATCTCAAGCAACCTTGAGGTTCTGCTGGGCCTCCTTAGGCCTCTAGCTGCCCTCAGGGGCCACCTTCAGTTCCTAGAAAGCTATTTGACTAGAATACTTTATATCATTATTCAGCTGCCTCTTTAGTGTCCTTATAGCACCTGTAGACTGTAGCGTTGTGATGCTCTGAGCGGGATTGTATAGACCTCAAGCCTGTTTCCCTGACTGGCGGTGTGCCAGCCCTACCAGTACCCTAAACTTCTTACCGTTACTGTTTGGTGAGGAGAAAACCCAAAGAGATATTTGGAGCTCCTTTGCATTTCACTCTGTACTCCCCCAAGGTTGGCTCACCAAAAGAGCCAGCTGGCATTTACTCAGCCTCTTCTGATACTTCTGCAAAGATGAAAGAGAAAGTGTAGATCTTAAAGGCATTTACCTAGCCTGGTGGCATTTGTTTAACCTGTCTAAGGGCAAAACCCCAAGCTGATTCTTACATCACATTTACTTCCTGGCTTCCCTGTATACAAAATAAATAGTTTTCTCTCCTTTATTCTGTTAAATCACAGCAAATTCCCCCCTCTAGATATCAGCTTAAGTCAAGCCAAATACAGCATAAGAAGAACATCTTGAATGAAAACATCCTTCAAGTGGAAGAATTGGGGAACCTCACTAGGGTCCTAACAGATCCATATAAGCAGAGGCATTGCTGTCCTTCAGCTGGTGCCTGTCAGGGCTGCTTGGTTCACAGAAGGGCCTCAGGGGCTTTGCATGAGTACCCACTCAGAGAGTTTTCATTCCCAGTGTATTTCAGGCTTGCTCGTTTGTCTCAAACCTTCAACTGACCTTCCTAGCCATGTGCTACCATGAACAGAATTTTGTCAAAGGAAAATTCTACATTTTTTTTAAAAAAGGTGTTGTTTAGAAGGTCAGATGGGAGACAGGGGAAGGAACCGTGAGCTGAGTCCTTGCTGAATAATTTCAGTTAACAGGTCATTGACTGCTCATGTCATCTTTCATTGCTCATGCTAACCAGAGCAGACTCCTGGCCACTAGAATAAAATGCCTCCTACTACAGCTCTGAGGTTTTCAAGCAGCTAGCAGGTGCAGGTTCATGTGCAGGGCAACTTAGAGCCTGTCATGGTAAAGGCAGGGCTGGCCATGTCTAGTTGAAGTTCACTCTGGCCTCTATTCCCCTTGTTCTCTGCATTATGTCCTGAAAATGGCAAGCCACTGGAAAAGATGGGGTGGAGGAGGTAGTGGTCTTTGTCTTGTGAGCCTCTGACAAGGTTCTCTGAATAGTTCTGGAAACCCAGCTCAGTAACACCCAGGTGGCACTCTTACCCCTGTCCTGTTTCTCCTGCACAACACAGTGGAAGTGACCAGGAGAAGTGATCTGACTGGATTTGAACTTGAATTCATTGTCAGTTTGTAAACAGAAACAGGGTAGAGTGTAAGTGAACATGGCCTGGCTTGCAAGTTATTTAATGAAGCCCCCTTCTCTCCCCTTTCTTTTCTAGCTCAACGACTCTGCCAAGCAACTCATTGAGATGGACAAGCCATGTCCAGCTGCCACAGCTGCATCTGGCTGTGACACTCCCTTGTCCTCTGAGTCCGGTGGGGTGGCCAACATGGCCCCAGGCCACACTCTAGGTAGCTCAGGGGCAGTCAGTGCCTTCCAGCGGCGTGTGGACAGCAAGAAGAATGCCAAGAAACGCCACTCCTTCACGGCGCTCAGTGTGACGCACAAATCCTTACAGGCTTCCAGCCACAGGCATTCCATGGAAATTAGTGCTCCAGTGCTCATCAGCTCCAGTGACCCCCGTGCTGCTGCCAGGATTGGGGAGCTTGTTCATCTGTCCTGCACTGTGCCCACCCAGGTATTGTTCTGTAGCTCAGGGCTACTGCTGTTGGGGTCTATGGGGTTCCACCTTCAGTTTTATGCCTTACAGCAAAGGGAGCCACCCTGCAATTGCTTTGAGGGTTATTGAGGCTTTATCCTTCCTGCAGACTTTGGGTACCTTCTGGAGCCTTGTGAATATGTGTGTGGTACTCTCTATGTGGGGGGAAGGGAGGATTGCCAGTGACCCCAGGACATGGCCAAGCTGGCCTTGAGCCTTGTACTTACTAGGCAAGGGTCCTTGTCATTTAAGCTACATTCCAGCTCTTTTGCTGTGCAGTTTGTTTTTCAGATAGTCTCTTGCCAACTTTGACCAAGCTGGCCTTAAGCCTCAACCCTCCTACCTCCGTTTCCCAAGTAGTTAGGATAACAGGCATCGGCTATCATCCTGGCCCCTTCCAGGCCACTCTTGTTTGTCCTTTGTTCCAACACCCTGGAAATGTTGAGCAAGATGCCCAGCAATGACAGGTGCAATTGTCATGATACTAGATTCTTCAGAACCTGCTCTGCCGGCACAGATGGTAACAAGGTTTGATGCCTCCAGTTCAGAGTTCAGGTCCCTCATCGGTAACCTGGAAAGTCGTATTTGACATAGATAGGTGAAGATTGTTCTAACAAACTCAGTTCAGATGCCAGTTACAGCAGGACTGGTGGGAGCCCCTAAGAAGGAGAATACAGTCCCAGCCGTACATGTCACTTGTATTTCTCTTTAATTTCTTTTCTCTTGGAAGAACTATGGCCTCCCTCATTGAAGTTGGGAATCCCCATCAACCGGAGGAGGATGGGAGAGAGCAACTGGGAGGGAGATCTTATTCCTGAGGCAATTAAAGATGGTCCTGGCCACCAGAGCAAACCTACCATACTATTCCTATAACTTGTGGATATTGTTCCAAGTCTTACCCTCCCTCAGAGCTTGCTGGGAGTTGTGAAAATGGAACTCAGTAGGGCCATGGACATTAGCCTGACTATGCTATATTCCCAGGTGCAGAGCATCTCTGATAACTTTCCTCATATGCACAAAACACGGGCTTTGCACATGTAGGTGCTATAGCTGGTGGTCTGTTCTTCTCTTCATTCTGCCCTGCGCCTACTCCTTGCTATTTTCCTTGGTGTCTGCTCTAGAGAGCCCAAGAGGCAGGAATGAAATGAATTTGCTTTTCTCAATTGTGAACCACCTCATTCCATGAGGATTCATTTGTTGTTAGTGATCCATTTCCCAGCTGTTCAGTTTGAAGTGAGTCATGACTAGGCTGACGGCATTCTTGTGTCACTACATCAGACTTGCAATCAAACAGAGCGGTCAAACTGTTTTCCTGTCTGAACAGAAGGAACACTGCATGTAGGTGAGCTGAGAGCGAGGCTGCAGGCCCCAGGGTGTTGCTGTAGTCTGACTGCTCAGCAACCAACCTTCTAGATCTGCCCTTGTTTCTTACTGGCCTCCTAATTCCCATTGTTTTGTTGGCCTCCTGTGTCTGTCAGGAGGTCCCCATAGCCTGAGGATTGACACTTGCTTGCCAAGGCTAGCCAGATATCAGAACTACTGTGCTGCATGGAATATCCTTATCATTCCAGAAACATCCTAGGATAGGGAGTTATAGCTCAGAATTCCGTGGTCAGTTGGTGAAACTCTAGCTTTGCCATCATGGACCTGAGGAAATCTGATGTTGTTATATGCATGTGTTTATCCATAGTAGGGCCTTTGTATACCAGTGCACAGCATCATGTGTATTGGCCTCAGTGGGTAGAGAAGGGGGTCCTGCAGCCCCAAGCTCCTCAGTGCCCACAACAGCGATGCTTTGACCCCCACAGGGCTCTCAAGCCTTAGCACTTCCATTCAGCAACACAGAACATCTTAACTCCTGGCGGGGTCAGCGGGGCGGACAGGTGAATAAGGCTCTCACAGTCTAGAACCTACACTGACATACTGACATGTTCAGCTGTCCTCCCTTGCCTGCCCAGGACCTCCCAGGTGGTAAGAGAGGGGTATTGTAGGAACATAGTTTTAAGTGTTGTTCTGTGGTTTCTTTTGGAGGTATGGCTGCTGTCCCTGATGGTTATCAAATGATCACTGAGCACTGTGCTGGGTTCTGTAGGAAGGTCCACACTTGCTGTCTGTCCTGGAAATTCAGCCAGCTGCAGTAGAAAAGGAGCCATTTGTTGGGCACCATGCTGAACTCTGGCTTGCAGCCAGGCTTGGCTTCAGCAGAGGCTCATTGGTGAAATGGGCTCTGATGGGGGCCTTGTAGGACATCGTGTAGTTAGAGGAAGCTGTATGTGAAGACAGCCATACATCAGAAAGGGCCGCCAAAACCTGAGCCACTGTGGTGCCATTTAATTGGCTTGATTCTAAAATCCTATGGTGGGAGATGAAGCAAATGCAAACCAAATCCAAGCACACAGAGAACATCAACAGTGACTCATGCCTAGGCTGGATGAGGGCTGTCAGCTGGCCCACCAGTGTAACTGACCTGCTTCCATCTCTCTTTTGTATTTCCTTAAAATGTAAAGGAAGCATGGAGGGTTATGGTTTCCACACAAAGGACTAAAACCCAGAAGTTTTCCTGTTTCTCAGAGTGTTTTGAGCCTCCTGAAACCTGAAAGCTCAGGATGCAGAGCTGTTGAGAGGCTGATGCGATGACTCTGCGTGCCTGGCCAGGACCATGTTTGCTTGTCCAGCATGTACACCTCCGTGACCTTACCTCCTCTGCCTTGCTTCTTTTTTTTATTTTTTATTGTGAAAATACTGTACAGAGGAGTTACAATTACATGGGCAAGATAGTGAGTACATTTCTTATCAAGCATTGCAGCCTCCTCCTTTGTTTCCCCTTCCCATCCCTTCCCAGCCTCCCCCCGCCCCCCCACCTAACCCTTCCCCCCCCCCCCCCCACCGAAGTTGTAAAGTTCGTTTTGGACATGACAACTTATACTTCTCATTGTTGCAACGGGCCCACTTGTATCCTTATTTAAACAACTTGTTTTTCCCCTTCCCCGCCACAAATTATACCGACATCAAATACAGTGAAAGCAGGGGTTGTACTGTGGAGGAAGGACATACAAAGCAACAAAGAAATAATCTTATAAATGCGTTAGAAACAAATGCATAAAAGAAAAAAACATTAAAATACATATCTTAGGGTTCATTTTCCTAAATTCACCTTATCTGACCTTTTCTGCTTGACTCATACATATACTAGATATTGCAAATAAGGGAAACCATGGGACCTATGTTTCTTTGGGCTTGGCTTACTTCACTTAATATAATTTTTTCCAAGTCTTTCCATTTCCTAACAAATGGGGCAATGTCATTCTTTCTGATGGAGGCATAGAATTCCATTGTGTATATATACCACATTTTCTTGATCCATTCATCTACTGAGGGACATCTGGGTTGGTTCCATATCTTAGCTATGGTAAATAATGCTGCAATAAACATAGTTGTGCTGGTAGCTTTAGTGTGGTCTTGTTTGTAAACATTTGGGTAAATGCCCAAAAGTGGGATAGCTGGGTCATAGGGGAGCTCTATGTGGAGTCTTTTGAGGAACCTCCATACTGCTTTCCAAAGTGGTTGAACAAGTTTACACTCCCACCAACAATGCAGTAAGGTTCCCTTCTGTCCACATCCCCTCCAGCATCTGTTGTTGTTAGAGTTCTTGATTTTTGCCATTCTAACTGGAGTGAGGTGGTATCTCAATGTTGCTTTGATTTGCATTTCTTTTATGGCTAGGGAGGTTGAGCATTTCTTCATGTGTCTATTGGCTATCCTTCTTTCTTCTTCAGAGAAGTTTCTCTTTAAGTCTTTAGCCCACTTATTTATTGGGCAGTTGTTTCTTTGAGGATTTGTTGTTGGGGGATTTAATTTTTTGAGTTCCAAGTATATTTTAGATATGAGACCCTTTTCCGTTGTATGGCTAGTGAAGATCTTCTCCCAAATAGGCTTTCTATTGATCTTGCTAGCTATGTCCTTTGCCATGCAGAAGCTCTGCAACTTCATGCAATCCCATTTGTCCAACCTTTCTTTGATTTGTTGTGTTTCCGGGTCTCTATTCAGAAAATTTCGGCCTGAGCCAAGGAGACCTAGGATTTCTCCTATTCCATCCTGTAATGTTTTCAGAGTGTCTGCTTTGACTCTGAGGTCTTTAATCAATTTGGAGTTGATTCTGGTGCAGGGTGATATAGTAGGATCTAGCTTTAGTTTTCTACAAGTAGTTAACCAATTTTGCCAGCACCATTTACTGAAGAGGCCGTCTTTCTTCCATTCTATTTTTTTAGCTCCCTTATCAAAGATTAGATGGCTATAGGTCTGTAGGTTCATTTCTGGGTTTTCAATTCTATTCCATTGGTCCTGAGGTCTGTTCTTGTGCCAGTACCAAGCTGTTTTGATTACTATGGCTTTATAGTAGAGTTTGAAATTTGGTATTGATATTCTTCCAGCAGTGTTCTTTCCGTTGAGGTACGTTTTTGTGATTCGGGGTCTTTCATTGTTCCATATGAATTTTTGGATTGCCTCTTCTATTTCCTTGAAGAATGAGGTTGGAATTTTGATAGGTATTGCATTGAATTTGTAGATAGCCTTGGGAAGTATTGCCTTTTCCCCGATGTTAATATTTCCAATCCAGGAGCATGGAGGTTTTTCCCATTTTCTAAGTTCTGTTTTGATTTCCTTTTTCAAGTTTTTAAAGTTTTCATCATAGAGGTCCTTCACTTCTTTGGTTAAGTTAATTCCTAGGTATTTTATTTTTTGTGGGGCTATTACAAATGGAGTTGCTTTCCTAATTTCAGCCACACTTTTCTCATTGTTGGCATACAGAAAAGCCATTGATTTTGGGGGGTTAATTTTATACCCTGCTACTTTGCCAAAGTTTTGAATCAGCTTGAGTAATTTGGGAGTGGAGTCTGTGGGATTCTTTAAATGCAAGATCATGTCATCTGCAAAGAGGGAGAGTTTTATTTCTTCTTTCCCTATTTGGATCCCCTTTATGT